ACGGGGGGCGTTATAGTTTTGACCATAAGGCGTCATGCTCTCGACGCCCCCTGCCCCCCCGTAGAATCTTAGCGACATGTTTTGGGTCGGGCGGCGGTTCGATTCCGATGGGCCCTCACCCTGTGAGAATATAATATGTATATATATAACAGGGTGATAATTACTCCGTCCCATTTAAAATAGGGCCGGGAAACGCTCCGACTTGAACCCATTCACAGTAAACCACTCCGCTTGGGTCACGTTTGATCGTCCGTGTCATCATCCCCATCGACCCTGTCCTTATCATGCCAACGCGATGTTTCATTGTATTCCTTGTTGCATTGATGCTGTGAGACCCTGGGCATCCTTCTCCAATGCGGTCGCGCTCGGTTCACTGGTTGGCCGTCCCAGAGGACCCACAGAGGCTCGCGAATCCGCATCAAGGCACCTTTGCATCCTGATCGGCCCTCCGCGGCACGCGTGACCAGCGAGGCAATTCTCATCTTATGGTCAAAAACTTTAGTACTCCCGAAGTATTGGGGTCTAAATTACTTTGCGCGCCCGGCATTGCCTGGGGGGCCTACTGGGAGGAGCGGGGGAACGTCCTCTTGAAGGACATCTCACTCGATGACCCCATCTTTCCCTCGATGCTGGCCCGCAAAAGAGCCGCGTTCAGCACAGCGGTGCCTTCGCCGACTGCACGGGCGCGGGGATTGCGAGAAGGGCCAGCAGAATCCGAAGCCCGACCTGATTCAAAACCTTCGCGTGCCTCTCAAGCAAGAGGGCCCTGGCCAGGCCCCGCCCTGCCGCGGCGCCCACGATGCCCCCCCGGGCGGCGCTTGTCAAGAACGCGACTTGGGACGGCTCCTCGTCGTCGCCCTTCGTGGTCGGGTCGATGAATTCGGCAAAGACGTACCCGACGAAATTTGCGGCATTCGTGATCCCAGATGCGGACGCACTCGCGCTCGATGGCTGGCCGTTCCGCCGGGGGCGCCGACGGGGCCAGTGACCTTTTTTCATTGCGAGCTCGTCATCGGGTTCGCTTCGTGAGTTTTGCCGAGGGAAGACAGCCTTTCCGAAGGCGAAACTGTTCGTCGGCTGCACGACGCCCCTTTCCAACCTTGGTCATGTTTTCGCGTGCGCAGTGGTGGCGGCAGTCACCCTCTCCTGCTGCGGTCGAAGAATTTGCGATCGACTCGAAGTTTGCTCTTATGATCTCTAGAATGCTTCCACGTCCTTATTCCCTCGCCCTGCATGGTGGCGAAGACCGGCGGATGCGCGACGTCGTGGAGGTCCAGGTCTTCGATGGCGAGGTAGATACCACTCTCGCTGTCTGTGTTGCGCGATGACACATCGTCATCGTCCAGAAAAGAGTCGCTGTCCTCCCCATTAGAGGCCTCGGCGGAGTATGTGGGTTCATGTTTGACTGCGCCGTCCGCGTGATAAGTGCGAGCCATCTGGAAAGACAGGTGCTCGCGGCGCGCGGTGCCCATCTCGAACCGCGCTGAGACCCTCCCGATGCGACTCCTTCTCTTTGATCGGGAGCTTCATGAGTTGAGATCCTCTCTCGTCCACTTCAACACCCTCTTCCAGGAACATCTATTTCCATTCATCTGGCCGGGCGAGGCCGAGAGTAGCTATTTTGTCCAAGGCAACATCTCTCCGAGTATCCGAGTAGCAGATTCGGTTAATCCTTCTCCCTGTCGGTGGCGGCAAGAGAAGATGCGTCCCCTCGCCGCCTTCCTGTTCTCGTTGCCGACCCTGTCACCGGACAGAAGGGCCCATTGATAGATGATGCCATCTGCGCCATGGACGCTCGTCACACGATCGTCCGCGATATCTTCCTTTTTCTGGGCCGAACTTTCAGACGTCTACCTCCGTGCATGTGCCTAAGGCCAGCGCGACGCCTCCAGCGAACTGTTTTGCGTCTCCACGCCCCATGCTCGGCCCAACCGGTCCAGGTCTCAGGATCGGCGAAGTCTCTGCCCCTCGTCTCCCCCCAAGAGTCGGGCGACCGAGCGTCTTTTCGCTTCTCCCAGGAGTTCCAGGCGTCATCCCACGATGACGTCCACTCCCTCCACCCGTCGGTCCAGGCGTCTCGGGCGTTGGCTGAAGCTGTCCTGCCGCTGGTTGCAACGGCCGCCTCGGACCGCGGATCTCGGGTTTCCCAGTCGTCGCGTCGTCCATCATCGCGCTGTCCATGATCGCGCCTCGCGGGCTCCTGAGACTGGTCTCGCAGTAGACGTAGGACCTGCGCAAGCTGGGCCTCTGCGAGAAGACCGTTTACCGCGGGGGAAGGTGCCGGGGCTGTGGGAACAGGGGTCCTCACACGTACTCCTTCAACCAAGGTCATCAATTGTTTCTCGTTCATCCTGAATTGTCGGTTTTCGTCTCTCCACTGGGATGCTGCCTCTAGTGTTGTGCTGAACGATCTCTGGCCATCCTCGGCCGAACCCTCCGTAGAGTTATCAGCTCGCCCCGCATCGGTCGCCATCAGGTCAGCGGAAAAGAACAAAACCTCCGTCGAAACTCCGCTACCACTGCCTCCCCACCGATAGCGACGACGGATGTCGACGCTGCTCTCTGCTTTGGTCTCGGGCCAGGCCCCGGTACTATCTGCTCGAGGCACGGCAACCCCTATCATAGCATGGGAAAGAATGGGAAGAGCGCCGTGCAAGCATCGGGTCAAATCGGACCGCCAAAAAATCAAAAACCAGATAGGATCAGGCTAGCCAGAACCGATGTCGCACGGGGCCGATCGGATCAACATAAACCCTGCAGGGCGCTCCAAGCGCCCGGCAAACACGCCTGTCCACCCCCCGTTTGCAAAGTTGTCGGCACGTGTTCCAATGGCGACGTGGGACACGAAGCGTCGAGTAGGAACGACTGGGGCGCCACAGAGCTAACTGCGCACCGAGACGAAAAGAAAAGTTTGAGAGTTGTTTTTCCCAACCCTCCTGCGCGTTGGGTTCTTGTATTGAATAGAGCACCATGGTCTCAACCTCTCTCCCCCCGTCACGTCTTCCCAACCCTCCTTCGTTGGGTTCTCGTTTTCAATGGAGCACTGTTGTCCCCACCTCTTCCTCCTCCTCCTCTCCCACCTCTCTCTCATCCCTTGATCCTCCTGCGTTGCCCCCCGGAGGCTGCGAAATGCGCAGCCGTCTCCACTTTCGTGGGCTCCTGGGAGGCACGGTGGAAGTGAGAACAGCGCAAATCAATTTGAGACCTCGCCCTGTGGAAATACTGTCCATCACATGTCTAGGAATGCCTATAACGGAGATGGAGGCATCGTTGACCGAAAGCTTGAAATCAACTCCGATTGGCCATTCGATGTCGTCTAAAGCATCGATCCTGTTGATTATGATCATGGTGGTGGCCAGCGAGCAAGCTGCAATGACTCCCGAAACCGCGAGCGCAGCATGCAGAAGCAGCCCGAGGGCGAGGCAGCGAGCGAACAGTCGAATCGAAATCGGATCGCCGCGCCTGGCTCTGGCTGGCCGACACGGGTGAGCCGAACAGAACTGAATCGAACCGGAATCGCGGCCCCAGCAATCGCATCGAATCGCATCGAATCGGATCGTGGTCGGCCCTGTGCGTGCGGGCCTCTGAGGTCGCACGTCGGCCGTCGAACGTCCGTCGACGTGGGTCGAGCTTGAGTCGAACTTGAGTCGGCCTGACCTGTCAGGTGGGCCCCAAGAAGGCTCCCCCGAACGAGCATCTGGCCTCTGAGTTCGCATGTCCGGCAAGAGCACGGGGCGCGCGACGCGGCCCTGCGCCGCCTCGAACCCCTCGCGCGCGCGGAGCCCACGGGGCCTCCGCGCGCCCCCGTCTCAGAGGCCATAGCTCACGGCAGGGCTCGCGCAGGCGGCGACGTGATCTTGAAAACGCCCGCTGGGCGCCATCTGCCGCAGCTCTTGAGATACGCGGGCGTGCCATCAGTGTTGTCGGCGGCGCGCCGAGGGGGAAGTGAGAGGTGGTAGGCCTTTGCACACGGCGGCGGGGCCTCTCAGAAGCCATCCGCCCTTCTGAGAACCTTCTGCGACTTCGGAGATGGCTTAGAAGCCGTCTCAGGAGGCAGGAGGCGTTCTGAGCATTCTACAAGGCCCGCCCCCTCTGCCTTCCCCCCTGGGCGCGCCGCCGGTGTTGCGCGACAGGAAGTTGAGCGCGAGCGGCTGCGAGGGAAGCCTTTCTTTTGTTGCACGGCGCTGCGCTCCTCACGTGGATTCGATCTCCAGTGGTCATGTAGCCAGCAGAGGCCGTCGAGGTGTGGGCTCAAGCATTACACTACTGCAGCGCAGCCTGCACAGAAAAGGCCAGCAGGACAAAGAGGAGGAGGAACATGGCATTAAGTGGCCGGCTGTAATCAACTGAGTTCAGTGGGGCGGGAAGTTGAGCCACTAGCGTCTCCCGCCCCTTCATCTGCGGAGATGGGCCGGCGGCGCGTGGTGCGGTGCACGACATGCCCTATGAGGGCCAGCAGCTTCTGGCCTGCGAAGTGCATGCTTCTTATGGCCACCGCGTCCGTCCAAAAGAAGTTGGCCAGGGCAGGCCGCCTCGGCCACAATGCCACGACATTGAAAGATGCAGTCTGAGTTTGAGGGCAGCGCAGATGTATTTGGCGAATGCCACTATATGATGCCATGCCGTTAGCGGATGCCGTTGACGGATGCGGTGTGGTGTATTCCACCATGGAGAAGTAAACCACGTCGACGGCACAACGTTCGAAGTCAGGTTATCCTTGTTCACGAGCGCGCCCTTGACGAACAGCGCTGCGCAATGCCGAAGCCACTCACCCAGCTGCCAAGAAAAGCGGATGGGATGAAGGCTAAAGAGCAGGCGACGACAATGAACAGGCACACGAAGAGCCGCAGGCAACGCATCACATATGGATGATCTGGCGCAGGCCGCGCACGAAACACGTGGCGGGTCGAGCTGAGCCTGAGATGGAACGGCTACGGTGGACGAGGAGAAGGAGCGGGAGGGAAGGGAGGAGAAAGGATGACAAGAGGCGGAGCGGGAGCCGAGGAAGCGTGATCATGTAATTGAAAACAGTACGCTTGACGTCGGCGGGCGTCTCCGTGTACAGGTGGTGGAGCATGACATGGCCGTCGGCCTATGAGCAAATAACAAACCATCTCATCGTCATCCTGATCCGTCATCATCGCCCAGCTTCTAATCGAAGCCTCCCCCTGATTCTGATCCATCGTCATCATCATCACCACAACCATCGCCATCACCATTACCGCCGTCCTCACCACCTCCACCAGCATCAGCATCAGCATCAGCATCATCATCATCATCATCATCATCATCATCATCATCATCATCATCATCATTACCGCCATCATCATCATCATCATCATCACCATCATCATCATCATCATCACCATAATCATCATCATCCGCATCCTCATCCTGATCCTCACCCACATCAGCATCGTCATCATACTCACACTCACCATCAGCAACCACATCATCATCATTTCCATCCTCCTCATCCTCTTCATCATCATCACCATCATCATCAGCATCAGCATCATCATCATTATCATCAACATGATCAGATTCTTCATCATCAGCAGCATCTTGGTCTTCATTGTCATAATCATGTTCATCGCCATCTTCATCTTCATCATCATCCTCATCCTCATCGTCGTCGTCAGCTGCAGCATCATCATCATCAGCAGCAGCAGCATCATGATCCCCATCCGGATCCTGATCATACTCCTGGCCCAGATCATCGTCATCGTCCAGCTCCTGCTCAGTGCCTCCCCCTCCCACCGAGGGACGAGGGGAAGAGCGAGGAGGGGGGCCGGGGGAAGCCCGCAGGGATCAGGCCAGACGTCGCCGCCCCCGCCATTTTAGCCCCCCCCCCGGCGGCCAGGACGCACGACGCCCCGACGTACTGGATGTCGAACAGCCCCTCTGCCCAGTCCGCCTTGTCGTCCTTAGCCCTGTGGCAGTGGTAGTGCCCGATGCCCGCCAGTGCCGTGCGCGTCGCGACCTGCAGCGCAACCCAGAGCCACCAGGGGAAGATGCTGAGGTACAGGGCCGGAAAGCAGACGAAGAGGTGGAACGCCATAATGCAGTAAGTTACCACCTCGAAGGCGGCGTCGGCCCTGCGGATCTTCTGCAACATCTCTGGCGTGTTTAGCTTCTTGCGGAGTGCCTTCATGAACCCCTTGTCCCAGTCGTAAGTTGGCACGTCACGCTGTGCATCGAAATCTGGCGGAAGGATGAACACCGGCGCGTTCATATGCTTCGCCAGGATATCACGGGGGTTGTCCTCATCGATCGTGGTCTCGTACTTCGCCAAGAGAGGCTTCAGCTTGTCTGGGTCCCTGTGATAAGCGTGGACGGCCGCAGAGATGTCGCGCTGGTAGGCCACGTCGAAAAAGCGCGAACCGCCAGGGTGGATGTACCTCCACTCGCTGAAGTCGTAGATCTTGCCGTCGATGTAGTAATGGTTCGCGTGGGGACCTTAGAAGCCCGTCCACCCCCGATCCAGGCTAGTCCACGACTTGGCCTTGACTCCAATCCGCGTGGCCCGATCAGGATTGGACAGTTCACCACATCAAACTAGGTTCAGCCACTGGGGTGCTCGGTGGTCAGCGCCGCGGCACTCAAAACCCTCGTCGTCGCATCGACAAGATGCACGCGCGAGCTCTTGCCAGGATGTAGTGTCTGCAGCCACGCCGCGCGATAAGAGAAGCACCCTGCCGATGGAGGGCCGCATCGAGCCGATCTCGATCCTGATTGATTGCTACGCCTGTCTCTTCCCCATTGGTGAACGACTCATAGCATAACGCGTCTCGGCAACACGGAGCGAAGCGGAAGGCTGCCACACCGTGAGTTGTTTCGTCAGCGGCAGGACTGGCGGCCTGGTCGAGCCGCTTCGATGGATCAGTGCTCCCAGACGTCGTCCGAATATTCTCTTTGCTCGTGGGACGACCAGAACCCTGGAGACCAGATTTCGCATGAGTTTCTCCTTGGCTGCCTACTCTTCCAGTCGGTTCGAATTCTTCCAGAACGCAAAAGACCTGTGTTCAGAGGCGGGGGCCCTTGCCCTTGTCCTTGCCCTTGCCATCCTTGCCGTCCTTGCCCTTGCCCTTGCCCTTGACCTCGTCCGGGAGGCGTCCGTCCTGCCAGTCCTCGCCCCACACCTTGTGGCCCAAATGCTCGGGTGCCGCCCCCCTCACCCAGACCCCACATCCCTGCTCGTCCCGCTTCCCCCCTCTCCACCTCCAGTCATAAAATGTGAATACAGCTCCCCTCTCTCCCCTGACGACGGTCGAGATTTGTGCCCGCCTGCCTCGCACACTGCTTCAAATGTACAGGACTTTCCATCCTTGGTTTTCGAGAGGAGTTTTTCCCATCCGCACGTTTGTCGGCCTTTCAAATGTGATGCTCCCGCTCGAGCATTGGCCACATTTCAGGATTGACGCATTGGTCCTGTCGTTCAGAATGGTACTCTCGTCCCAACGCGGGCCACATTTCTGGATCCGATTCGAACCTCGTCGTTGCAATCCCCCTCCTTTCCTCATCCTCCGCCTTGCGTGGATCATCCTGCTCCTCCTGCTCCTGCTCTTGCTTCTCATCCCACTCTTCCTCCTCCTCCTCCTCCTCCTCTCCTCCTCCTCCTCCTTCTCCTCCTCTTTCTCCAGCTCGTCCTCTGGCTCGACCACCTCCTCCTCCTCTTCTATGTAGAGTACGGCCTCCTCCTGCAATGAAGTGTTCCAGGCCTTCTGGGATAACGGGATGGGATTGGTCTGGAGGGAGGGACAGGATGACAACATGGCGCGAGCGAACCTAGCTTGTCCTCATCCCTCTCTCGGACTCCACTACCCCTCTCCTCCTCATCCGCCTCCTCTTCCTCCTCCTCGTCCTCCTCCTCCTCCTCCTCCTCCTCCTCCCTCTCATCCTCCTGATAATTCCCCTCCTCCTCATCATCATCCTCCCTCTCCACCTCTTGTCGTCAACAGCATCATGGCCATTGCCATAATCCTCGCAATCGTAATCATCATACGTCACCGTCATCATCATCGACAGCATACGCAGCGTCGTTCTCGCCATCACCATCATCAGTATCGGCCTCATTCACACCATCATCATCATATGTTGTTTAGTATCCTCCTTCTCCTCCAGTTTCCCCTCTTCCTCCTCATCATCGTCCTGAACAGTATCACCACCAACATCATCATCGTCGTCGTCATCATCGTCATCATCAGCATCAGCATCAGCAGCACCAGCATTGTCAGCATCATCATCGTCGGCACCATCAACATCATCCTCATTAGCAGCAGCAGTATCCTCCCCATTATCATCATCATCATAACCAGCATAACCATCATAACCATACTCAATATGAGCACCCGTACGGTTAGGTTCATCATCCACAACATCCTCGCCTTCCGTATCCACGTATTCCATGTCCTCCGCCCGCATTAGCAGAATCACCACCACCGCCCGTCATCAACAATCGTATTCGGTGTCTTCCTCCTGCTCCTGGTCCCCATCATTCTCCTCAACCATCCTGCTGATCCTCATCTCCATTCGTCGCCTCACCCCTGGGCGTATTCTTCGAGTGTCGTCCCTCCTCCTCTTTATCACCATCGCTCCTCTTCATCCTCCAACTCCGTCCCTCCTCCTCCTCCTTTTCCTCCCCGACACTTGTCATCGTACTCAGCATGCTCTTCCTTCTCCTCACCCCATGGCCCTCACCCCTGCTCGTCATCATTGATCCTCCTCTACCTCCTCACCATCATCATCCTCACTACGTACCATCACCGCGCCACATCATCAGCCCTCCTCTTCCTCAACCATCTCCTCCTCATCCTCATCCGTCCGACTCCTCATCATCAAAGTACGCATGTCTACATGTCACCAACTTCCGCATTCCCGTCACCCCTGATCATCTCCCGTGCCCCCCATCGAGTCTCATCCTCCACATACTCATCCGTTCATCTCCCCCATGCATATCCTCCTCGCTACTCCCACCCTTCTTCTTCTTCATCAACATCAGCGTTATCATCAGCAGCAATATCATCATCATCGACAGCATCATCATCACCAGCAGCATCAGCATCGTCATCAAAATCATAGTATTAATATTAATATTCATCTTCATCAGCAGCAGCATCATCAGCAGCATCATCATCAGCATCATCACCATCGGCATCGGCGTCGTCATCGTCATAGTCATCAGCATCCCCATGGGCATCATCATCATCAGCATCAGCATCAGCATCAGCAGCAGTACCACCATCAGCATCATAGTCATAATCATCACCATCATCATCGGCAGCAGCCGCATCAGCACGAGCATTATCATCACCATCATCTTTACCAGTCCCATCATCACCATCACCCTCCTCCTCTTCCACCTCCTCCTTCTTCTCCTCCTCCTCGTCCCCCTCTGTCTTATCCATCTCCTCCTCCTCCTCCTCTTCCTCCTCCTCATCCTTTTCTTCCTCCTCCGCATCATCAACTTCCTCGTCCTCCCCACTCCTCGCCCCGCACCTTGTTCCAGATGGTACTCATGTTCAGCGCGGAGCCCCGTCCCCCTCGCCGAGGCTCCCAGGGCACACGAAAAAAACGGGCAGCGGCCACCCTGAGCCAACATCGGCAGGAGGGAGGACGAGGATGGAGGAGGGATGATGGAGGAAACGGCAAGAAAGAGGAGGAGAGGGAAGAGGAGGAGGAGGAGGGCAAGAGGAAGATGGGGAGGAGGAGGCAAGGGTTGAAGTAGGAGAGATGAACGTTGTTCTTGAGCGACCGAGCGGGAGGGGAGGACGGAAAGAGGAGGAACGAGGGAGAGAGGGAGGGAGGTAAAGAGCGAAGGAAAGCACAACAATTCGGACGGAAGATCGTCCATGCATAGCGGGGCGTAGCTGCCGCCTAGGCTTACCTCGCACTGGCAGGAGGTGCAGCAAAACGAACAAGGGTGGGACACATTCACTCTCCCCCCTGGCGCGGACTGAGGGGGCCCCCGACTGAAAACAAAAACGGGTTTGTGGTGATCAGGGCGTGACGCGCCCCGTCTGAACACCCGAACGAAAAAGGCGTTGGCATACAACGCGCCTTGGCCTGTGCGTATCTGCACCTCAGCGAAGCGTGGCAACGCCTTGGGGCAGCCCCCGTGGAGGACCAGCGCAAAGGCAGCGGAAAGGTGTCCAGTTGTTCTCGCAACGCACCCGAAAGAGGAGAGACTAGCACTGGTGTGCTAGCGGTGAGCTTCAAGGTGCGCCTGGAGGCTTCCCTAGATAGCGACCCCGGGAGAATCCGTCGGACGGAAGGCCTGCTGCAGGTCGTTCCAAGCGGACTGACTGTGGAATATGTATGTTCCTGGTTGCGACACGCTGTTGCAGCGCCGTGATGCTAGCGATGAACGTTGTTTCACGTTTCCGATCTGGCGGATGCCTGGCAGCCATGGGGTGTTGCGCGAGGGCGCGCCTGCGATCCAGTCGCTGTATTGGTGTCCCTGAGGTGCGTATGCGCTCTTGGGCGGAAGGGCGGTCGCCAGTCCCCGCACCCTGATGGGAGGGGTAAACAACCTGGTGGCAGCGCGCTGTGGCCGCGAAGGTGAGGTCCTGGTGGACATCCTCCCATTGGGGCATGACCGTCGCACTCGTGACCCCCTGATAGAATAGCAGTGGTTTGGTCATCGTTATCCAAGGGCGCACCTAACCCAAATGGGTCCTGGTCTCGTCTTCTCCTCCGGAGTCGTCGTATGGGCCTCCCCGTGGATCACCGAGATCGTTGAAAAAGTCCGTCCCTGGTGGGCATTGCGGTTGCGAGGGATCGCCAGGTAGGCCTGGTGGCTCGCCACTCCCTCGCCCTATGGTGAGCGGGCTGGGCTTTATCCTGCCGAACTCAGCCGTAGAATAACCCGCACGTCTGTCAGGCAGGGGCAACGTGTGGTGGCGGCGGTCATAGATCGTGACAGCGGTGTTGTGGAGAACCGCCGCGGATTTGTGTCGACACTTGGTTCCGTCGATTACATCTTGCTGCAGGGTGTGCAGACGTGGTCTGGCAGTGGCGAGTTCGTCCGCGTGGCGGTTAAAAGCCTCTGCGATCAGCGCGATTCGACCTTCATCGATGCCTTGCTCGCCAAATTGGCTTTCGACGTTCTGGACCTTGAACGTGTCAGGCATAGTTTGCAACACTCGGTTGATATGTTGCCAGATATCGGCCTGAACTCCCATGACTCGAGCAAGGCGAAGGTCTCAGCGCGTTGCGCGGAGTGGGCTAAGCCGCGCATTCGAGCGGAGTGTTTAGTCGGTGGTCAGGGCCGTGTCCTTGGATCGCGTGCTTAGACAAAGGAGGCCTGGGACGCACATGGTTGAACGTCGATGTAATCAGATTTATCTCGAGACGAATGCTAAAAAGTTCATCCAGAGTCCAATAAAGAGGGGCACCAATAACAAAACTGCCGGGCCACCCGAAGCCCAGGAGGTAGGTCAAGTGGCGGAGGGCTTTCACAACTGGTTGAAAGACTTCACAATCTAAAGAATGCATCACACGATCCCAACCAAAACACCTACACCCCAATGTGCGCACCCCGTCCCCGTACGATACCTGGCAGACGTAACCCGCCCGTTGAGGATGGTCCTCAGGGAAATGATACACGCAGCGGGAGCTTGCCAGCGATCGTATACATTCTCATGAACGTGCGGAGGCAGACAAGGAGGAGGAGGAGGAGGAGGAGGAGGAGACGAGCGTACAGGAGGGTCCTCATCCTTCATCTAGACCTGCTACGATAGCCACCCTCTCGCGCTGCACGGCGCCGTCGCGTATAGCCGCTGTTTCAATTTGGAAGGCGCCGGGGGGAGCGGCGCGGGGCAACGCAGTGGCAGCAGGGCTCACGAGCGAAGGACGAGGCGAGGGGGAGACAGAAACATCAGAGGGCTGGAGCGGACCAGCCACGCAATAAACGCCGCTCGCAGACATGCGAGGCAAGGAAAGTGTGGGAGCACGCAAGGACACATGAGGCGGCAAGACAAGAGCAACCAAAAGGCTAACGATCTCATCGTCTTCGGAGCCATCGGCATCGCCATACATCGCGCCGGCTACAGAATTAGGCGATGGGCACAGGCGCGAGCCACTACCACGCACCTCATCATGTTGCACACGCCTCATGGCACCTGCCTTCTCTCCACGATCATTCATGGCAGTTCCATCACCGCTGGATATCGAACTCGAACAGGAATCAGAAGAAGACGAAGTGGAGCACATCTTCGATGCGACGGAGACTACAGTCGCCTCTGGGGGTCTCATTTTTTGATAGCATTGGACGGCCTGGCCAGGCGTAGAGAGTGGATGGAAGCACCGACCAGCGAGCTCAATTGCCTGCCTCGCTCTCGAGCAAAAGTCTGGCACATCGCGCATATCATCCCGACGCGTTCCACTCCAGGTTGCACGAGGCCCAGACGGGGCGCCAGGCACAAGGGGAGCGTCCGTCTGAGACCGCAGCACTCAGAGGACGGGGGCACGCGATCTGGCTGGCAAGTCCATTGGGGCTGAAGAAACCAATGCAACATTTGAGGAGTCCCCCAGGATGAAGAACTCTCGAGGCTGGAGGAGGAAAGCCAGCCGTTGTTCCAGGCTCGGACCGTCGCAAAGGTCCAGCTCAGCGGGGTGGGGCACAGCAGCTGTCGAAAAGCATCCCGCAGGGCACGGTCTAGGAAGGGCGCGTAGCCTGCGAGCAAACCAGAGAGTGAGCGATGAATCGCACATCAAAAAGCTCCCCTTCACAGGCCAGACGGCGCGTCCGAGCGGCTGCGGCGGCGCGCTACGGGCGGGGGCGCCAATCTTCGCATCCCAGCTCGTCTCGAATAGCTCCCCTCGCATGTAGGTCCCACTCGTCGTCGGCGTGGCCTGGGATCCCATCGCGGTCCTCAACGAACGCAGGGGCAGCCCAGAAACGCGGATGCATGCTCTCGTCGAGGAAGGGCGGGAGCATGGGGAACGTGCGCGAGGAAGGGCGAAGAAGAGCAGCCGCGGAGTGAGCAGACCATGCCATCAGCGCGGGGCCGCCCCACATCTTCATCTCGAGCACCGCTTCGTTGCTGAGCATGCGAAGTGGGCGCGCGAGAATTCGAGCGATGACCCCCTTCTGGCGCGTCAGGAATGCACCAGGCATCGGGACGAGCTCGGAAATACATATATATATATATATATATGAGATAACACCAAACGCACGCGTGCACAGCACAATATAACAGCGACGCCCACCGCCGCTCCACCACGGCTGAGCAGGCGCGCCCTACATCGAACTTTGGCCAAAGGTTCTCACCAACAACGCTCAGTGGTCGCACTGGGTTCAAGCCGGCGGCTCAAGTGCAGCGCGCACCCGTCAATCGCAAACCCAAACCACGCAGGGGCACGCTGTTCCAGGAGACCTCGAACTTCATGGATTAACGCATCAGAGGTGGGGCCGAAAAGGGGAACCGCCGTGCATGTGCCGATCTTGATTTTGACGCCAGCAACTCACTCCATATCTCTCAGAAAACGGGTACCAGGTTTGAGATATATGAGCCCAAACAATACAAGTCCTAGGTCATCAGCGCAGGCGCGACTGAGGCCACGCCCAGGAGCCTCTGCGTCATACTCAAGGCCCTAGAACATGTGAGTCGAAGCAAGAGCATGCAAAGACCAAGACAGCCCGCACCCTTGGATGATGCCAGATCGCAAGCAGAACACCCTGATCACGGCGCCCCCGCCCGTGACCCCCCCCCCCGGGTCTCATCCAAGAAGGCGACGCAGGAGAGGGGGTCTCAGGGATGCCCAGCAAGCCCAGGAGCGCCAGGGGGAAGGACTGGGTGAGGCGAGGGAAGGCTTGACCGCAGTCGAACCCAATCAGTACGGGGGACTTCTGTCGCGCGAGAGGATGCTGAGAGGCGGCTCTCGGATGCGCATGAAGCTACAATACGTTTCCAAAGTTGCGGCCAGTGATTAAGCCGCGCTGCGCTGCTAGAACCACATGGCACACGACTGGTCTTGGCTGTATTCCCAAGGCCCTAGACACGCAGCCAGGAGCTGAGGCCCGAATGAGGAGGTCCCCCCAGGCAACATAAGGTAATCCATCCACCCCTAGGGTCGAGTGCTTCGCGCGGCTGATGACCTTCGGAAAGAGCGAAATTAGTAGGGCAGAGATGCGGACTTTCTTGGCTGGTTTCAGACACTTGTCGAGGGCGGCTTGTGTCGCGCGCTCAGCAGGAAGCTTCGCTGAAAAGAGAAGCCCCCAATGTTCGCGCAGAGCTGGCCGACGAATGAATGAATGGGGCGGATGTCTGCCCAAGTACTGATTGCTACCGCGCGGCGGCACGCGAAGCGACAGGGAGAAAGGGGGGAGAGGGAGGGAGAGGGAAAGAGAGGAAGGATAAGGCCACAACTTAACTTCAGGCGCCGCTCATCCCGCGCCCTCGTCCTGCTTCAAAGCTCTCGCACACGTGGGCGTCACCAATTCCGTAAGTTTCCTGGCTTGGCGTCTGCTGTATTGTTGGCCCGCGCCCGGGGTGTACATGAGCTTAATCTTGTCGGCGACTCCTTTGAAGAATTGGCTGTCCATAGGAGGCCCCCTGAAGGAAATATTGAACTGCGACCTCACAAAACCATCGATC